TATTTTAGGGAAAACATACATAAAAAATGTGTTTGAAGAACACAAATAAGATTGCAAAATCAAGTCTTCCGAAATTATGTCATTTAAGAATTGAGGATTGAGACACATTAAGACAAATTCTTTAGATACATGATGCTTTATATTCTTTTTCCACTTTGGAGACCACACAATGGCCCAAACCATGGAAATTAATCAGGTCTGCACCATACAAGAGGGTTGTTCATGGGAGGATTCCTTTCTTATTCACTGTAAAATCTGGAAGTTAGTAATGGATGAAGCAGGGGTTTGAGTAAAAGAGAAGACTATTTTTTTAGGGATGTGAATGTTGCCTTTGAGAATAAGATTTCATCCTTAGATCTGCCACAAAGCTCCTTTGAAATGACAAACAAGTAACTTAAACTAACTACCCATGGGTGATTACTAATGCTGTGCCAATCCTTTGACAACAAGCTGGATCATTAAATTATTTCTTGCAAATGATGCAGCAAAGAAACTTTGAATTTACTGGTCAAGGAAGGTTAGCTGCACGTATTGCTGAGTGGACTGGTTGTTAATGTCCCTGACAAACACAAAGACGTTGCAGATAAGGAATAGTTTTGAATACCATAAGAAGGCTTTCCTGAGGGATTTTTCTTTCTTCTTCTGTAGTAGTATTAATCAGAGTCATTCTGTTGACCAAAAAAAAATAAAAAAATAAAACTTCAATGGAACTAAAGAACACAAAGCCAGAGGACATGATTCAGCTGTGCAGGAAGACCCCCTGCTGTCAAATCCTTTTCAAAGCTGTACCTGCTCCAGGCTTAAAAGAATTTGTTTTCCTACACATTAGTCTTGCTGACATGCTCTCTCAGGACCTTGCTGCTGCAGTAATTAGAGGCCAGCTTAATTTTGGTTATGCATTTCTTATTCCCATCTCCTTCATTAGTGGAAATAATTACATGCCCTTGCATTTTTATTCTCCCTTTGGATGAACTTATGGGCAGTTATCCTGGCCAGGCACAGGATAAGTTCATGTTGCCTATTTGCCCAAGTTCTTCATTCCCCAGATGTCCTTGCAGCACTTCACATCTTTACCCATGGGAAGCTTCCACTCATGTTTATGTTCTCCCATGCAATCCATATTTCCTAAATGGTATCACATTAACATTGTAGTAATAATGATAATAATAATAATAAAGCTTATATTTTCTTTCCTAGCAAGGAGGAATCAGCCATAGAGTTCTGCCACTCTTAGGTGGAGATGTATATCTCAGCTCTTTCACTACTGTGCTTACTGGCTTAGATTCAGCTGATAAACTGCCCGTCAGCTGTGATCAAAGGCAGGGCATGTGTTTCTTCACTGAGCTGATAGCTCTTTTCCATTCACAAGAAGGGGGCCTCTGAAAAAGCTGAAGAGTGACTTTTTACAAGGGCATGTAGTGACAGGACAAGGGGGATGTCTTTATATGGAAAGACAGTAGGGTTAAATTTGATGTTAGGAAGAAATTCTTTACTGGGTGGATGGTGAGGCACTGAAACAGGTTGCCCAGAGAAGCTGGGGATGCCCCATCCCTAAAAGTGTTCAAGGCTAGGTTGGATGGGGTTTTGAGCAACCTTCAAGTCAAAGTGTCCCTGCAGGGGGATTAGAACTAGATGATCTTTAAGGCCTCTTCCAACCTAAACCGTTCTACGATTCTACAAGAAGGAGGCCCTAGTCTCCAGCATCCACAGACTAGCAGAGTTGTAATGATGAGCTCAAAGAAACCACCGTGGCTCACCCAGTCTCCTCTGGAGTGTTCTCAAATCAGCTGAAGATTTGAGAAGGTAAGGCCCAGTCAAAGCAAAATAAGGCCCAGTCAAAGCAAAAATAGTGGTAGTAACATATTGAGGGTACATGTAATGATACATGTAATGATACCTTTTATTTATTTCGCTCTGTGTTGATTCCAGTTTGAAAGCCACAAGTTACTCCAGAGGGGTTTTTTCCAAGTAAACAAACAATATCAGCTCTTTCCAGTCATAGCCTGGCCTCCTTAGCACTTATGATGAAGCACATTTGGGAGCCAAAGCAAACAAACAAGATGATTCATTTATCCCAGAATTTAGCAGACGGATAAATGAATTCTTGATAACTCAGGAAGAACAGGACCTCTACAGCTTTAAACGAATAGTACCGTTCAAGACTCATGGGACAGAAACACTGGCAATGCCTCATTATCCACAAAGAAATCAAGATGTGCATTTCTATGAAATTTACGTACATACAAGTGAAGTTCCTGTGGCACTACTCAAGAGATGGCAAATCAGTAAAAACAGTGAGAAAGAGAGGGCCTTCATCTCTTGTCAAGAATGTGAGACTTTCAACATGCTATACAGGAGTTTGCTATTAACACTTGAAGTCATCGTCAGATTCTGGGACAGTTAAGACTAGTGCAAAAACCTAAAATGGGTAGGAGGGACACACAATTATAAGAGCCAAACTGCACTTTGCAGTTAAAGATTCAGTAATAGGTGAATTTCCCAAGTTCTAACAAGCCAGCTTGGATCTATGTGAGTTTTTAAAAGTTTCCTCATTATTAGGTGCCTGGCTGAGGAATTTCAGGAAGAGATTGACATGTCCTTCTTGAAAACTGACTGCTTTACTAAGCTCTTTACGTTGTGTATACTAGTTAACATACTGATAGAGACTACAATTTCCAGTGCAATGAGCACACTAAAGCAGACTAATAATTTATTTTTATATATGTACATTTTAGTGATTTTCTTACCAATAGCCTGTGTTTGTCCACTGACAGAAGGCTGGTTTTATGATATTTCATTTTTATACAGCAATTTTTTCCAGTCATCTGTTGTGGCCCAGCAGTGCCTGCAAGGAGCAGGCAGATGCTGCCTGCTTTGGGAATTGAGCTGGCTGAGTGCTGTGGAAGGGGTAGCAGCCCCTGCTGCCCCTGTGCATGCCCAAGAGCCCACTGCTCATCTGCAGTCACACAGCAGGCTTACTTCTGGTCCTGGCAGGGCTCTGTGTACTTCAGCCACACACACAGAGCAGCCTTTTCTTTTCCTTCTGTAAAAGAGGGGAAAAAAAACTTTGGCAGTTCATGACCATATGGTCTGTGAGCCACTAATGTTTTTCCATGGCACCAGCCAGATATTTTCAGCCTGCCTCTTGGTTGGATTCCACTGTATATATCTTTGTGCCTGCCTCCTAGCCTCTTACAGTATTTTAGCATGAGCCTGTGTCCTTGCTCTGCATAGTGAGCTGCCATCATTAATGTCATTTTCCAAGGAAGCCCAGCAGCTTTGACTACTGAAGGGGTGTCTCTGGGCTTGTCTGTTTCTTTTTATAACCTCTGATAACCTGAAATCCAGCTATCCACAACCAATTGTTCCTGTAATGCATGGTGGTTTCTTCTCACTTTGTCATAAACTGGTGGAAAAAGACAGGCAGTTCTGAGGTGCAATTCATCCCACTTATTTTAGGCACCAGAAAGAACTCTTCCTACAGTGATTGGAGAGGAAACATCAATGGCTAGCTGTATTCCTTTTGGCCACGTGAAGGCTGGATGAGAGGTACCACACCCTGGGCTATCTTTAGTGGCTACAATGTTATGAGTAGACAGGGAGTTCTGAGCTCAAAAATATGAGACCTATTTCTTACTTTGTTTTGCTTTGCTGGGCCTCTTGCTTTGCAGACTTCAATCAGAATAATCATAAATCCTTTAATTGGCTGTTCTCATACTTAAAGCATTATTCCTGGCAATGCTATTTCACATGGTCCTTGCCCTCTTGCATGAACACCTTCCCTCTCCAGCTACTAGAATAAAAAAATGTAAGCTTCTTGTCTTGATTGGCCAAGATCAATTCTGTGCGCAGGTCCAATCCTTGTTTCCACTTGCTCCCAAATTTATTTAAGGGCTTTGTTTGGGAACAAGCAGGTCTAATTATTTGATGCTCTTCAATTTATGTTTAGGGATTTTTTTAGGTGCTACACTGGTCAAACACTAGTTATGCTACCTATTTAGATTGATAGCTGATATCAAGATCACATACACTGAATAAAACAAGAAAATAATTGTTAACTGAACTTGTTTCCTGAAAAGAACTACTTGCACGAGCAGCCTCTGTCCTGGATGCTAAGTCATGCCAAGACCACGGTACATCAGTCTCTTCTTTGTGAGTGTGCCTTTGAAGTTGTTGCAGATAGACAAGGTCTCTGAAAATGCTATAAACCCATGTAGTTCCAGGAACAAGGTGGCCTTGTCCTCCTTACATCCTTAATTTTTCAAAAGAGAAACATTGGGGTGCAGAGCCCTGGATCCTTGATGTGGTGTTCCCTAATACTGTATTTCTTTTCGAGTCTGATTATAAACCAGTACAACTAAGTCCTCAGGTTCGATTTGCCTTGAGATTCAGGACATTTCCTTCTCAAAATACATCAAGATTAACGACCATGAACTTCCAGAATGGACCTACCTAAAGTACAGTGATAAATGGAGTTCTCTAATTTTGAATGAAAATAAGAGACAAAATTCTTGCATTTTGGGAAGCTGAACAAGACGGATTCCCCCATCTGGGGAGCACATGCTAAATTCACATCCCTACAGTGGCAGTCTGTAATCAGAAGTCTCCCCACAGAAACCAGTGGGTGAACAGAAGACAGCTGGTAGGCAGAGAAAGACCACCCAGTGTCACCTGCCCAGAGTGAGCCCAAAACTTGGGGGGACTGCAGAGCAAGGACAGTCATGAACATGGTGGCAGTCAGGAACAGAGCTTGGCCCATGAGGACAGTCCTCCTTTGGTGTGACCAGGCACAGTCACAAAGTGAGAGAAGCAGCTGAAGAATGGAGCTCATCCTGCAACCCCACAGAGCAGGGGTGACTGTGCCTCCAGGGGACAAGTCCCTCTGCAGCAGAGCGCTGGAAAAATCACACCTCTCCAGGAAAGTGCTGCCACCCTCAAAGTCCCATCTCATATCTAACATCTTTCTTCACACACAACTCACACACTAGTATATTGTTTTGGGTTTTATTTGTTTTTCATTTTTCATATAACATTTTGAAAAACAGTGTTGCCCTTGTGTATAATGATATAAAGAAATGTAAAGCATTTACATTACGTAGACCACTTATTCAAGCCTACTGTAAAATATCTACATAATATAGTTCACTTGAATGTCTGCTTATGAGGAAAGCCTTCAGAATATTGCTAGACCAAGAGTTAGAGAGGCAAATATCACTTCATAAAAGATAAGCCTTTGTTTCTATACATTCCTTTTGTATTCAAGGTGCCACTGAGTAACATCTATTCTCTTTATGCTTAATTTTTATCTCACATTCACATTTCTTTCTCCCGCTCTAGTTTGGAGGACGATCTGAGGTGTTAAACTTTCTTATGGCACCAATACTCCACATACTTCTTTTCCACTACTTGGTGAAATCCAACCTGTACCTATAGCTGGATGTGTTATCACACTACTCTTGGACAATACAGATGGAAAGGAAGAACAAATCACATTTTGAAATGTTACACTTACTGACAAACCAAATTTATTCTCTAGCTACAGACTAGCGATTGCTTGAAAATAATGAGCATTCCTGATGTTCCTAAAATATTTTTCATGTTCCTTCCAGCACTGGTCAGTTCATCTATAGCTTTCTTCCTTCAAAGAACAGATATCCAAGTGGATTGACTGGTTTCCACACTTGCAGACAGCTTTTTCCCATCTGCCCATAAAATACATGTAGTCTTTATCATCATAGCTGACATTCTGTGCTTGGCAACAGTAAATTCTGTGGTCTTCCTTGGTTGCTCTTGACTCAGACTGTGTCAGAACTCTAATCTCCATGCCTTAGAATATTTAAAGGGAGGCTTTGGCTTAAATATCATTACTTGCGAAGGTTTCTGCTAGTAGATAATAAAGGTTTCCTAACTCAAGTCACATCCTACTCTTTGAAGTTTTTCCAAATATTTATTGGATTAACTCAAAGCCAGCTATAAGAGATGGTGGAAAGGAATTAGATTATGGCCTCTCCCAGTTGGACATGAGCTGCTCATTTCCCTAGTTTGTTACCATTTGTTTCTTTGAAGACAGTGTTTTTCCTGATTTCTTTCCTGCAGAGTTTGAAAAACCTCTGGGATGATTTACTTGAACAAAAAGCTTTGTCTTCAGAGTCTGTGAGAGGCGTCAGTTACGGCTCTGTACAATGTAGTCCTTTAAGGCAGTTTCTCTTCCCTCCCATACAGATGAAGATAATACACATTATATGTCATGTAACTATTTCTCAGCTATTATAAGTGGTGTCTCTTTGAAGAGGAAGTAACCGAGTCATTTTACTCCTTCTGTCTCTCAAAGTACAGCATGGTCACTGATTATTTATTGCTCCCTTCTGATTTATGCCAAGACTAGAATCCAGTTAGATTAACCTAACAGGCAGTGTTTTGCATCATAAGTAGTCGATTTGCATACTGCAATTTAAAGGACACAATTTGAAGCTACACCAGATTGGTCACAGAAAGGCATGAAAGGGTGAGACTGTATATTACTACTGGCAATCTGTCCAGCTACTTCCAGGAATGAGAGTTTTTATTAGTCAAATGACTCTTGAAACACAAATTCTTTCCTTGGCAAAGATAACAACATGTTACAGCTGCCTATGAATATCTAGCTATGACATATTAGTAGATAAAACAGAACTGAATACTCCCATGTACAGTTATCTGTTATGCAGATGTAGTTTTCTCTGGGGGAGGAATATTCTGAGACAGTCCATTTAAGCAAAGAATAATCCAAATGGTGAAAAAATTTAGGGTTTTTATGGAGAAGTTCATAGATATACAGTTGCCATGACAACTGCATTTGGCTCTGGAAAAAGGAAAACAAATGGGTCTTCTAGGGGGTTTCCTTTCCTTTTGTACAAAAAACCAGTAAGTTTATTGAAATTACGAAGGGTAAGAGCACCTTCCTTTCCCTACCTTTCCCATATCCAGAGCACGATCCCAGTATTCTGTGCTCCAGAATCCTACAGATTGCACCCTAGCTGCAAAATAATAGAATCAAGTTTCCTCCATCTAGGCAGTATAAAAATGGAAACTTATATTCTGAACTTCATCAGATCATAGAAGACTTGGAGAAGAGGGAAAGAGCTGATACATATCTGTCTGCTGGGAATGCAGTATATCAGGTCTGAAATGCTCTCTGTGCCTCACATGAAAGATAACCATGGTGATTTTTTGTTCTGTTGGCAGTTGGAGAACCAGGCAGAATTTAAACCTTTGCTATGCTATATCCTTTATCGTCTCTCCGTTTCCAGCATATCCCTCCCACGATCACACAGGCCAATGCAATGGGAATCATTGCAATGTACCAGGACAAGCCAACAGCTGAAAAGGTAAAGAATAAATATTAATATTTAAAAAAAAACCACAAAAAAAACCAAACCAACAAACAAAACCACAAAAAACCAAACAAAAAACCAACCAACCAACCAACCAACCAAAAAAACACCTCTCAGGAATATAGTTCTCTAAGTTCAAGGAGGAAGAGGAGAAATCACAATAAAAAGGACGTATGCAAGTTAACCTTCCAGCACGGCTTATGCACCTGTGAAAGGAAGAGGTCTATTGATGGAACACTCTGGGAAATGTGTTTATGAAGATGGGAGGAAGAATTCGAGAACAACAGAGGGTGAGAATTTAAAGATCAATCCTTTGCATACAGCTGACTCTTCCCAACCCCTGATCAGAGTGGCTGTGTGCCACTTGATTTGTGACACACAAATTGATTTGTTAAAAGCAGAGACATTCCAAGATAGATGTAAAAGCACTGCATGGAGCAGGAGTACATAACAGCTAGTCTACCTGCAAGCTGTGTGAATAATTTTCTCCTACAGAGTGGCTTATAAATTAGTAGTGATCAAGCCAAGATGCTGAACTTCTTCTCAAATACAGTTTCCAACACCAGTGTATGTCCAGACTATTTTTGATTATTCCAGCATATACTGGTACGTGGATTGCCTCCTTTGTAGGGAGTAATACCTATGCAGCTCATGGAAGACAAGGCCAGCACATCCAGCAAAATGAGTACAAATCCCTCATCATAGAATGCTGGAGTAAGTCATAACTCATAATGAAGTCTTAAATGTGCCTTTCTAGGACAGTTTGAGCAAGCTTTGGTGATTCATCAACCTCATGCAAAGAAACAATTAGCATTGCTTCACATTGATTTTACAACATGTTCTTGGCCAGTGGTCTATCATGCTGCAATATTAATTACACTGAGCTTAAGTCTTCTCTTGCCCTCACTAAGAGCCAAAATAATAACACCCATCATAATTTACACTTCTTGTTATTTTGGTGGCAGTCTGTGCATGAGGAAAAGGAACACTCAAGTAATTAATTCTGTTATTGTCTTTTTTTTTTTCCCTACTTGTTGAGAAACTGCAGGAGTTCTGGCCCTCCTACACCCAAAGGGAATTTGCCAGTACTCTCACTGAAAACATCATTTCACAAAGTGTATCTAAATTGGAGTCCTATTCAATAAACAGATATACCAGGACAGCTGGATCTTTACCCCTGCATAAAATGTCAGTAAACTCACAGAAGGTGTATTTTGTGAACAAACTATATCAAAGACTACAGGTGAAAGAGTCAACTAGACTTTTCCTGGGCAATAATTAATTCTGGCACTATCTCTGACAGTATAAAAGGCTTGGATGATATGTCAGCATTAGAATAATAATAACAAGTATCCAAAATAAGCAGTGAAAACAGCTACCTTCCTGCTTGACCCTTGTTGGCAGTACTTGGTATCCATATCTGTTCTGGGCCAGACAGGTAAAGTCTGTGTAAAAGTCCATTTCTTCAACAGAATCAAAAATCAATGGTACTTCAATGAAGTTTTCACCATTTTCTACAATTTCTCTAGAAAAAATAAGAAAAATTTAATGTTCAGTACTTTTATAAGCTATATTTTCTCTATTTAATATGTTCATTCTAAGAAGCACAATAAAATGTATTGGATATGGGCTCATTTCTGAACTAGCCACACAGCATTCAAGGACACATGATGTCTCCCAGTCCAGTTCTGCTAACTAGTTGAGTCTCAGTGGGCGGTACTCATCCTGCACTTTTTGGAGCCTACAGGAAAAAAAGATCTGAAGTTGTCTTGCAAAAATAAATAAAAGGGAAGGAAGAAAGGCAAGCAGAATTCCATATATCTTTGAGCTTGCCACACAGCATTGGAGAAGGACCTAATTTCTTCTTTCTGATCACCTATTCATTTCTGAAATTAATTATTACTGCCAGATGGAAGAGGACATATGGAGAACATAAACCTGCAAATGCTCTCTCAGAAAACTGAACCACCATTCCTGTCTATCACATGTCCTGAACCAAGAGCTCCATACAAGAAACTGTCTAAGAAGTTTCCAGCTTATTTCAACATTATTGTTTCATGAGTACAACTCTCTGAAAATGGTTTTCTATCTGCAGTCAAACATTGTCCCTTGGTATCTTTTAGTCATTTCTGGATCAGTTGTCCAGCTGCTCTTTAATGATCTGATCATGAGTCTGCATTGCACCATGGCAATGGAATTCCAACTGTACCACAAGAAGGCAGGAACACAGCAGTAGGCTCTTTGCCAGAGACTTCTGCAGGGAGTTTGTTCTGCTGGTGGTATTTGAGCTGTTTTAACATGCTGCCATAATGGGGGCTTCCAGCATAACTGGAGTGTCTCACACACTGTGGGTTCTACATGAACCTTAGCTGTCATAGTCACTGTCCTTGTGCAATTCCATAATAATATGTAATAGCAATAATGATAGTGATAGTCATAATCAAAGTAATTTTTAAAGTCCAAGTAAGAAAGTACATGTGTGCTCTATTCTAAAGCCTGTAGAGATATTTTATGGTTCCTGACCACAGGTTTAATGCATTTTCACTTATCCCTATAAACAAGATTATAAACTAATGCTGCCAATCATGGGATGGGAAAACACATAAAGGCTTGGGTATACAGCTGAGTGACCACGTTACCTCTGGCTGCAGCATGACCAGATTATTATCTGGCACTGGTGGCCACAAATGGTCAAAACCAGCTCACACCCATAACTGTTAAACACTCTTGTCCCTCAAAATACAGATGCCACATCCCCAAACTCTGTTGGAAATGGTCCCTGACCCATGCTAAACCCTAATCAATAGCCAGGAATTCCTTGGGAAGGTGCTCTCACCTTTACTTCAGATCTGTCTCTACCCCATTTCATTACCTGGCATTCAGTTGCACCAAGAGCCCTTGTTGCATTGTACGTTAAAACAACAAGCACAAGGAAGCACTTTCAGCCAGACTTACTGTCGTTCTCCCTCTGTAACTCTGCTTTGTTTATAAACCACATCAACACTGGTGTCGTTTGCCAGCCATTCCACATCAGTTTGGACATGGCTGCTCAGCCCAACAAACACTTTGCATGGAAGAGTCATCTTGGAGCCTGTCAAAAAAACAAAGATTGAAAAAAAATTTGGATACATGTGAAGAACTACTTTTTCTTCTCATGAAAGCCAACAACTCCAGTGGGAGATCAGGTTCCCACACATGGCAAGCACCACTACATTCAAAACTGGAGTTAATCCCCAGGTTACTTATGATCTCCTACCCCTTGGCAGAAAGCCCCTTCAGTTTGTCAGTCCTTCCCAGTGCTAACCAAATCATTTTCCTATTGCAAGAGTTAGCAACTCTTGCACTAAACACATTCCTCAGAAGGCAAAGCTCTGTCCCTGCAGCCTTGCTCTTTCTGACGTACTGCAGCCCAAAGGGCACCATGTGATTTACCCCTCTCGAGCAATTGCATTAACCAAAAGTGTAGCTTTGCTTGGAGATGTTGTGGGCAAGAGCATTCAGCTCAAAGTGGGACCTCTGGGGATGAAGTGATTGTGCAAAAATGCTGAAATTTTGATAAAGTTATTGTAACAGAGTTAAGGATAAAGAGACTCCACACTGGTGTGGATCTATGGAAAACATAGGGCTCAATAATGCAAACAATGTTATTATTATACCTGTGCAGATGGTCATAAAAGGAACAGGAAACACTACATGGAGGTAGATAGGAAACAAAACAAAACACAAAAACAACAATGAACAAAAAACCGAACCAAAACAAACAAAAAAAAGCAACCCCAAAACTTGATAGGCTACAATGATGGAAAGAAAAGTAGCAGGGAAAACTAACAACATCATAGGACAGAGCTGTGCATATAGTACCCAAGTTAAGAAAGTTTAGTGTAAAATGTGACTGGCATTGTCTGGGAGGAGGAAATGCAACAGACATTTGTTGTCATAATGTAATCTTCAAACAAAAATTGAGATCCTATCAAGGTACTTGCTAACTAAATCTGTCTTGTTCAAACAGTAAAAATCAATGAAAAAAGGTCTCTTTTCAAAAGAGCTAGATGGCTCATTCAAAGCTACCAGATAACCAGACCAATTTGAGGAAATATGAAAAATAAAAGTTCTTAGTGAAGAGGGAACTGTGGGCAGCTGAGCTAATGGTGCAAACATGTTTTTATTGCTTTGTAAGGGGCTAAAATCTCCTACCTGGAAGAGCATCTGATTGTAGACAGTAAGAAACAAAAACTACACCAGCACTGACCCTCAGGTAAGATAATAGAGATCAAAGAAATTACAACAATTTACACCAACAATTACACCATAAGAGGACTTGCTCTAATTTTTATCTGATTAGGTGTTTCCAAAAATAATGTTGGGCCTTACCAAGAACAGCTGATGTTGTCTTTTGCGTTGGATACACAATTATTGGGGTAATTCTCTTCTCTCGTTCTGAAGTTAGAAAGAGAACAGTCAGTGCTAACGCAAGAGCAAACGTGGGCACGGCCCCAGAACTAGAAACGTGACACTTCGCTCAACACCTGTTGTCTTCCACGAAAACATTTGATTGTTAAACCCACTGGCTAAAAGAGACATTCCCGTCTCAAGCCCCGAGACCCGTGTTTGTGGAGACAGGATCCCGTTCTCATCCCTATCCCGAGGGATGCAGCAAAAGGAATTCACGGCACGCCCGCCCCCTGCTGGCCGCTCGGCGCAGCAGCGCCACGTCCCTTCCTCCCCCCCGCCGCTTTCACCCCTCTGCGAAACAGCATTTTGTCCTCCCCCTAAGCAACTTTGAAGTGCTTTAACTCCTAACCTCTCTGAAGTCAGTGACACCTCCATGCCCCCAAGACATAATTACTCGATTTAAAAAACACGGGTACTCGCAGGAACGACCCCTGTCATGCCAGGGGTGCTGTGGGAGCCCCATCAGTGCCAGGGCACTCACGGTGTCCCCTTTCCCTTGGCATGCCTGAGAGATAGAGCATGACCTCCTCTCCCGAGTTTCATTAGCAAAGAAGAGGTCTTCTTAAGTGATGTAATGTTTTAATGTGTCAATCCTTGAATCATAGAATCACAGAATGGTTTGGATTGGAAAGGGCCTTAAAGATCATCTGGTTCCAACCCCCCTGCCATGGGCAGGGACATGTTTCACTAGACCAGATTGCTCAGAGCTCCATCCAACCTGGCCTTGAACACTTCTAGGGATGGAGCATCCACAACTTCTCTGGGCAACTTATTCCAGTGCCTCACCACCCTCATAGAAAACAACTTTCTCCTAATATCTAATCTCAACCTGTCCTTTTTCAGTTAGAAGCCATTCTCCCTTGTCCTGTCACTACATGCCCTTGTAAAAAGTCCCTCTCCATCTTTCTTGTAAGCCCCCTTTAGGTACTGGAAGGCCTCAATTAGGTCACCCTGAAGGCTTTTCTTTTCCAGGCTGAACAAACCCAATTGTCTCAGCCTTTCCTTGTCCAAGAGGTGCTTCACATCTCTAATCATCTAATGTTATATTTACCAACAGTCTCCAGCTGAATCGTCCTGGTGATTTCGTACATCACACCTTCAAATGGAAATGACATCTTGCAAGTGTAATAGCCAGCATCTGTTGGTAGCACAGACGTCATGATCAGAAAAGCTGAACCTTTCAGAATGACGAATTTCTCACTGTTGTCTTCCAAAGGCAGGGAATCCTGGAGAAAGGACAGTAAGTGGCATTATAACTCAGATATGGTTACGCCCTGTGTAGGTTCCCAAAAAAATTACTTATCCCTGTCTCTCTGTTATTAAATATCACTGGGAAATTTGAGCAGTTCCACTTTCCTACCAAAGGGCAAGTTCTTTTAATGTGTATCTATCTCTAAAATGCTCTGTGGCACTATGTGAAGCATGAAGAACCATTATTTTAATTTATTTACAATGTGTGTACATAGTTCTTCAATAAAGAGCACATTTTAAGATGGAAAAGGTATAATACACTCTTTTCTGAGTCCTCTTAAGAGCAATCAGCCAAGATATTCTTCTAAGACAAAACCATTTTAGTACCCATGAGGGTTTTCACAATTATATCACTTTCCATATATGACCTCGTAAGACTAATATTCTAAGGTGTTCTTTGAAGACAAATACTAGTAATCATAAAGATTTTCACATAGCTGTTACTTACCCTGTATACCTCATAAACTGTTATAAATTCCTGCTCTGTATCCCTAAGGCTGTCTTCATACAAAGGTTGGAACCCTTCTAGGAGCAATGATGTTCCTGCTCCATGAAGGCAGAGTAGCTCTTTCAGACAGTTGTAATGAGAACCATATTGAGGGGGGCAGCCTTTTGCTTAGATAAAGTGGCTTATATCCCACTTCTGAAGGGAATCCTGAGCAGCACCATTTTACTGGTGTGGTACTGATCACAACATGGGCACTGCTGTAGGAAGCCAGCCTATGTATTGCATCCCACGGTAAGACAACAGCTGCACAAGGCAGAGCATGCAAACATAGTGAAGCATAAATAAAAGTTAACCAAGGTACTATGAAAATACAAGAAGGATCCCCTGCTCTCCAGTGAGAAATCATACAGATGAGGATGATGAATTGAAAGATATTTGACCTTAGAGGCAAAACCATGCTTTGCCTACTTGAAAAGCCACAAACTGGTAAGTTAGGCTAGAGAACACTCTAAGTAAGCATTGTGTAATTAACCTAGTATTTCCAAATGCTGTATTCCAGTTGATTAATGAAAGCTACCCCCTCTGAAAAATGAGGAAGCACCCCTGGGAGGTCCTACTTTATGGGATCCACTACAAGGGCCATAAAAAGAAGCACAGTGCCAAAGGGAAGAGCCTGATCTCAAGTGGCAAACCCTGGAGTTGGGTAAGTAATCTATCCTTACATATAGTTGCACTGCCTGTGAGAGCATATATGTGGAACACTTCACCCTGTGCTGAATCCACCCCAGAGAACCTTTCTTAAAATATGTACATCTGCCCCAAAATTCCCAGTGTATTACACTGTGCTCATGACTTGACCAACATGATGTTCAGGAGAAACATAAAGTGGAGATTTATGTGCTAAATTGGAACTAGGCTATGCACAAAAAGGAGGTGAAAGTTCTACCTTGTACCACTTGAGCTCTGGGATTGTCCAATTTGGTGAAAAATCCCACAGGTCAGGACAAACGATCTTTCCAGAAGTGAAAGTGAAGAGGACCTGGGGATAGGCAATCTCCTGAGCAGCTGTTTTCTCCACGACTGTCAGGTGGATGGAGACTTCTACACAGTAGGAGGAGTTCCTGCAGACAGAGGAGGGAGAGGTGAGCACCTACCAGTGACACAGGGAACTTGAGTGACACTCAAGGTTTCCTCCTGGCTCCATTTCTTTCCTTAGCAGTTTCTAGGAGGCCAGGTCTGAGATCATACCAGGAGGGATGCTGGAAAAATCACTGGTACTGTTCTTTTGGCACAATCTAAACATGTGGTTGACACATGTCTGCCTTGGACATTCAGTCTTTTCTTTTTTGTACACCAAGTTTCCTGTGCACCCTTAGACTACAGAATTTTTTAAATTTTTTTCACCTGAACAGTAGCAGGTGTGTCATGAAGTCTCCACCATTTCCTTGGAAAATGTCCTGACTACGAAAACCCTAATGATGAAATAAAAACCTTAAAGCATGTATTGAAATACATCTGCAGTCACTATTGCACAACCACAGGCGTTTCTGTGAGTACATATCATATTGTGTAGAAAAGAAGGCATTCTGGCTTTGAAAGGTTTGCAATATTCAACTTTTCATTCAGGTCCCAAGTGACAATCAGTTCCAGTCCCAAGGAGGACCAAACTTGCAAAGACGGATGCTTAAATTCTGTCCTCCACAACCTCTGAAGGCCTGCCTTGGAGATGCCTCTACCCAGGGCAGTGACTGATCCTTGAACAGGCCAACAAAGCCAGGGGGTTTGGCTGCCACCTCCAGGAGAGCAGCTATGGGCTGCAAGCAGACAGACTGACACTGCTGCCAGGGCACTGTGGTCATCTCTCACTTAAAGGCTGGATGCCCAAATCCAAAATACTAGCTTCACAGAAGCAGAGATCTCTGATAGTTTGCTTCTACTCTCATTTTGCAGTGTTGAAAAAAAATCTGATAGCTTTCCCATAGGCTGATTTGCAAAGGAAATACAATTTGCTTGTACTCTATTAGTCCTGTAATAGTGTTAGCAATGAAGTTATGTACTCGATTTGCATGTATTTTTCAAACGTATTTCAGAGCATTTTACTGTAGGTATTAGTAACACTGCCACAGTATTATATATTGACAAACTGAGCCAGAATAGTACAAAGAGGGGATTAAAAAACACCCTTGAAGGTCTCAGGCACTACTTTGATCTAGAACAATATTTACAACCTTTTATTGCTTTGGCCTCACTATCAGTGTCTTCTCTTCTGCCCCACCATTTCTCGCTGCTGAGACATGTGGAAAGGTCAACCCAATACACTGAGCATGATTTCTCTACTGGAGTTCTGCCTCTCCATCTCTTCTTCTTTTGACACACATCATTCACAAGGTGTGTCTTGCCAGCAAGGAAACCGTGCTTTACACAAGCAGCTTGAGGGATGTGGAGATATGTTCTCCACTATAAACCCCAGAGCAAGATGTCAGGGATGTACTGGGAGGCTGGCTGGCTGGAGGAGCTTGGAGGGGATAGGGACCTGGGACACCTTCTGGAGTTCAGGCTTCAAGAGTGATAGGGGTTTTTGCCTTCTTCAGTCCCCAACAAATCCAGACCCTGGTATCTCTTTTGAAATGGTACAATGGGCTGTCAGATTGTAAAAACTCAGAAAAAAAATGACCAACAGGGCTGAAAAAAGCCATGCTTGAAGTCTCCACCCACTGTAATATCATAAGTCTGTTATCAATCTAGTAAATACACATCAAGTCTTGGTAAAGGTCTTCCAGTAATACCAAGGCAATCAAATTCTGGTTTAAAATGTGAAGGAGAAATAAAATGAAGATCAGGGACAAGGAAGAGGAAAGAAGGAAGCCACTGCAGAGCCAGAGTGTCTTAGTATATGCTTCATAAGGCAACCTGAAGTACACCAAGGCTATTTGCATCCTGCAAAATCCCCTTCCTGCAGCATGTCCCACTTGCCATAGCACTGACTGGCTCATAGGTAAGCCAGAACAAATTCTTTATACACTGTTTTCCCATTACATCATAGCCAAAGCAGCAATCCCATCTCACAATTTATCCAGCTTTCAGTATATGTAGTTGCAGGAGACACATAATGCACTTAAGATTCTGACCTTCCACATTTTTTCTCTAGTAATTTCCTCAGTGAGGAAATGATCTTACCCAGAAATGCTCTGAATATAACTGGAGTTTCAAATCAAGCTAATGCGTTTGAGACATAGTAAGCTTGTTAGTGCACTGGATTTTCTTTTAAATACTCACCTTTTCATGCAGATATATACTCCTGAATCTTCTAGCATCACTGGTAAAAACCAGAGTGCATTTTCTTTTGCCCAGATTCTTGGATTTTCATCTCTTCCCGATATCATGGTTTTTGAACCATTTTTATACCATGTGATATTAGGAGTCAAGGCAGAAAAATCCAAATGTTTGTAACTGGGGGAAGGGCACTTCAGAACCACAGGTTCTCCATGCAATTCGTAGTAGTGTTTGAAAAACACGGTGTGATCTGGGCAGTTTTCTATATAATCAGAGATATTTTACATTACTGTCAGAGAGGCACATTGAACAGAAGGGTGAGGGAGACAGAAAGAAAAAAAGTATGCCCTTACCCATGCTTTTGACTTGCTGGAATCTGAAAGCAGAGGCACCTGCTGTGCACGTCACCAGGACAAAGAAGAGTCCACGCATTTTTTTCCACAGCAAATTGGAAGGAGAAGGTCAAGGGAAAGTCTTTTGAAATCTAAAAGGAAGTTTATTACAAGACAAATGATATAATGAAAACAGTCAGTATTATCTTAGGAGTTAAATGTTCTTTTCCTTAATCCAGACCTGGGGAGATTTAGTTCACCCTTAGTGAGCAGAAAGGGGTCTTCATCCCTAGTTTATAGAAGCTGACTTGGTGAAACCAGAGCATCTGGTTTGGCACACAGATATCACTTCTGTCCCTTCCCTTTCACTCCAGATGAAAATAGCATACCACAAGATGCTGCTCTGTCCCCACAGCTTTTCAGTGCAACAGCTAAGGGTGGGAAAATCTAGTTCTGCTTATTTTGCAATAAGATGTGACTGAGGCAAGGGTCAGCTGCTTCGAGTGAGCAGTAGCTTGGGTGAACACAGGAGCAAAGATGCATCAGAAGAGACTTTGGTTCTCTGAAACCATCACCTCAGGTGTCTCCCAAGGTTATATGGCCTTCACTAAATCCTGTGTCACTGTATCTTCCCCAGTGTGGCTACTAAAGTAGGCCAGCTCGTGTGGATCAGGCTGCAGGCAAACTTCCTGCTATAACCAGAGCCAAAATTTCAAAGTCTCCAGCAAATGCGTCTATTGGGACAAAAACATTGACTCCCATCGCATGCACACCCATCTTGCTGGTGGTGCTTGAGTGAGTTTTCAGCATGGACACTACTACATCTGTTCTAAAAAAAAAAGATAAGGAAAACCCTGAACAACTTGTCCTGAAAATCGGATATGGTGACACTAAGGGAAAACAAAACTATCCGCTGCCAGTCATTCATCAAATGTCATCTGTATGGACCTGGCACGGACCCAGAAGTTTCTCTGTACATCACTGAATGCTTCTGCTCTGCCACAAGGCTTCAGCTGCTGCTACTCAATTGATAATGTGTTATCTCAGTGTGCTGCAGGCAAAAATATATAAAACATGCTGCATAGAGGCACTAGTTTATGCTCTGTATAAGGAATTTATGAGCAATATAGTACATGTATGCATGTGATACATACTATTTCTATTTTATATACAGAAATGGAAATCTCATACATTTAACATTAGTCTAACACTATGATGAATATTAAATGACTGTGCAATTACTTCATATCCAAAAGCAAAAAAACATTTCTACCAATATAACATAGCCATATTCATAGGTATTCACCTTTGGGCATCTTCTGTTTATCCTATCACTCTCATATTTATGTTATGGTTTTAATCCAAATTTCTTCCTGTTCTGGTAGCTGTAGTTATCTAGCATCTGATAGTTTGACTACAATAAACTATTTCCAGCTTATTGCCATCTCTGTAACACCACAAAGCCAACCTCTTTCTCAATAATACTGTTTCATAACCATGGGTCATCTCCCCTATTGCTAGATCTGCGAGGGTTTCCAAGGGCGTTGGTACGGAGCTGTAGCCTGTCTCAGCTGCACCTGGACTAGGTGCTAGTGTCATTAACAAGCCTCATGATTCACACAGATACTCTGTATCAGGTGAGTTTCTCTCTCTTCAGTTTCTTTGCCTGATGAAAACACTTGGTTATTTTATTTATAGATTTCCAGTTCCTTTGCTTTAGTAACTAGAGATCTCCATAAACCCTACACAATTTGAGGGTTTAGGGGAGGTTTTCATTCCCAAATTTCCATCAGATTCACTTACCTGTGTTTCTGCAGTCTTTCAGCCATTAGCTTTTCACAAAAGAAGCTATCATGGAAATTGCTAGTGAGGACCTTATATAAGGTTTAGCTCAACACACAGCGGAAATTTGTCTCTCATTGCCCAATCAGACTTGTGTCAGAACCATACGACATTTTAGACAGAGCTTTCTTTCCTTCCGTAGAGTGAGGATGAGAGAAACAGAGGCACAGAGAGAAAACATGTGTTTGGATTTCCCAAAAAAGGGGAAATAACTGCTAAATGAGTACGTGACTAATTTTCCTTTTTTCTGACGAGTGGTAGCTTGCATACACTCATGTCTTCACATGACTATTTCGTGCTCTACCTCGAATAAAAAATTCTCATGAGTAACAAAAGGTGTTCTGCAGCATGGTCAGCTAAAAAATTGCACTGTAGTTAAATAATTGCAATCTTCACATTATGTGGTTTAGCAAGCTCATCATGGACAACATAAATCTTCTGTGATTTCTCAGATTGCTTTTGAATGACGAATGGGTTGATTGCCCTTTCCTTCCATAACATCCATTTTAGTGTGACTGCCTACATTAAGGCTCTCTTACAATAGGGTATAAAGAATTAACAGATCATGAGCAGAAGGAGTAAGAAATGGACTATAATTTGTGGCAATGATGGCCTTCACGTGTCTAGAAGAGGGCAATCTAATGAGGGACTTCAATCTGGAACTGAACTACAGGCTTTTCCTGTGCCTTGTCCTGACTTGTCATGTCCCTTCCAGGCAACCTTGCATCTCTTACAGCTTCTTGATGCTTCATGGAGCAGCTGTCATGCACTGCCTCATTGCAAGCCCAGGAAGGCAAGATGTGGTGTCTGGCTGACCTGCTGGACCTGGAGTCAGAACACAGGTCTAGCAGACTTCAGTGAAATGCCCTCACCTGCCTGGGCTTTGTAAACCTTGGCCAAGCAACCCTGGTCTGGAGCGCTGGGGTCCTCGCCCAAGGCTCAGGCCTTGTGGTGCTCTGACTAACCAAATAACGAGAGTAATAAAAATAACATAGCTGTTTATTGCAGTAAGCAGATAAGAACCATTTTTTATTTAATCCTAACATAATTCATTGGCTTTTTCTTTAATATCAGTCTCAGTTATATTGAAGACCTCAGAATATTGTTTAAGGGATAAAAAAATTATCAGGTTTTGAGACCATGCTGCCCTCTACTATGGAGAGAAGAAACATAACAATGAAGACAACTATTAATATACTGCAATCTTTGGGGATGTGTCACATGCTTGGATTGCATATATTCCTTTGTGCAGGCAATATTGACCATATTATAACTAGTTCAGTAAATAAAGAGAAAAGAAAAATCATTAAGCACCATACTTCAATCTGTAGTGATCTGTATAGTTTCTGTATGTTGATCAATGCAGTCATTGCAAGGATCTCTATAGCTATCAGCTCCACACAGAAGCTGATCAATTTTCCTCATCAGTCCTGTTATCCATAAATCTGAAAGGCTGATAATGCAACTGAAGTTACTAACTGCCCTGTAGCACTCCATCTTCTTGTAGAAAAGAAAGAACTCAATCCCCTCGATGCTAAACTCACACTTGAACTATGAAACCCCTGGTTTTGCCTTCCAGAATCTCTGCACTTCATTCTGAGAATCTGACCTCATGAATTATAAAACTATATCAGTCTTTCCATTTCCAATTCACTGTATGCAACCAGAAAGACAAGTTGTCAGATTCGGTGACCTGTGTTATATTAAGTTTAAATATCAGGCTATTACTGTATGAGTGACTTGCACAATAGATGTGGGAGCCTCTGATTGTAACCCTGGCCACCAAAATGAGGCAAATCCCCAGCAAATAACCCAGATGTTTACCAGACACAAAAAGAGCAAAACTGCAGGAAATGAGGCTTGATATCTTTGGAAAGATTGTACCTACCCACTGCTGCAAACACATTCATTGCATGCACTGAGCAAAGACATGTGACAAGCTGTTTGATGAGCAGCAGAACTAGCATCACTTCTTTTCCACAGATTTGTGCCCCATGCCCTCACAGACACTCCTCCGCTGCAGCCACTTCATGGCCTTTCCCCACCATGCTCCAGTGCTTTCCTTCCCCTCATGTCGTGTCCTCTTTTCCCACCTCACCCAAGACTAGTTTGTCTAGGCCAGGTGCAGTAGCACATCCTTGGGCTCGCTTGCAACTATACTGACACAACTGATCAACTTGTCATTGCCCATTACCATGTGTATGGACTGGTTGCTACCTGACTTTCCCTCTGTGGGGCAATGCTTTGGGTCTCCCATCTGTACACATCAGCAGTCACCAACTTTCCTCATGCTGCTACAACTCCAGGCATTTTGAAAACACAACCCCTTAGAGGATACAGCTGCAACATCCAAAGTGAGTTTATAATGCAGTAACATATGCTGACCTGCCTTAGAAAACTAAACTAAACACAAATAGCAGTGCAGTTCTCAGATAGCATCATGTCCTTGGATACATCTAACAAGGATCAACACAGTTAAACAGCTTTCTTTAGAAGAGCTCTGTCCTGGCTGTCTTCTTATCCAGAAAATGTCCTGATCACATGCACCACTACAAGAACCTCAGGCTAAAATAGTTTATCTGGAGGTGCAAAAGTCTGGTCTAGAATAACTCAGGAAGAAATGAAAGATAGAACAAGTACTTTTTTTTTAGGAGCTCTCTGCTGAGAAGGCCATGTTATTTTTGCGGTCAGTTATCACTGAGTATTTATAAACAGAAATATGCAAGTCTAGCAGCTATACATACAGAGAGAGACTCTTTTAGGGAAGCTGGTGTCATTCTGTGGTTTCATTGTGCTGATGATTCATTTATACAGCTCAAAATGCTGGAGCATAGCTGTGAAATTCCTGACTTGAAGATCAGACTATTTCCCATATGTCTCAGCCATTGCTCATCTCACTACATAGCTATTTCCCACACCAGGGCTACATGCAGCTGCCTTGTCACATTTGGGTGGATTTTGCTGTCCTCAGACATCCTAATAAAATAAACAAAATCTCAAGAAATATTTAGTGTTCTGGAAGTTCCTTGCAACAGAGACTTTCAAAAGGCCTCCACAAGCATGGTGTGTCTGTTCAGTATCCCTAGTCCATGGAAGGAGAAATGGAAATTCAGGCATCATATAATGGAGATAAGACCACTTCTATAAGGGACAGTTAATGTGCCAGCTTCTTCTAGCAACTCTCAGGTTCTGCTGTCTGCCTTGGAGGAACTCACCCAAGTGGCTCTGTGGCTGATGATGTTTGGCATCCAAGAACTGCACTCCCATAGACTTAGCTATTTATTCTGTTATCCAGTTTGGCTAAGTGAATATCATGCAATTAAAAACTGAAGAAAATTTCTCTGGTTCACATAAAAATGAGGTGATGAGGGATTAAGAAATATTGAATGTTGAAAGCTGACTGGCAAGCAAAGATGCAAAGTAAACCTCAACTATTGCACCAACACATGTTCTTGGGCTTATTGACATGATGGAACCTGGTTTTCATTGCTTATAATATCCTTGTACACTGTTCCCAGATGGGGTCCTGAGTAGCACAGAAATGGAGATCGAAGGAAAAAAGCTATCCAACTCTGAGAATTACCAAATAGATGGAAAAAAAAGAGAAAGACTAAACAGAGAAATTAGCACAAGGCTCAACAGATTCCAAGAACACAGGAATTTTCATGCTTAGCCAGAGGAATGAGTGCTGTCATACCCAGGTTGTATATGACTAAGTGGAAGAAATAGGAGGAGATACTCCAAGAGATACACTTTGCCATGAGGGAGTGCTAGTTTGGCCAAGGCAGCAATGGCTTGGTTACAGTTTGCCTCACTGCTACTTGTTCCTGGGATGTCAAGAGACTCTCTCATAGCAATAGAAGCCAGGCAGACTGTGAAAAATAATTACACTCTCAAGAGCTGGAAGGGACATGGAGGAGGAGACCCTCAGTGTAGAAATCAACAGGCTGAAAGGAATAAAGTAATAGCTAGAGAGGCCCAGAGTCGCTGTGCATAGACACACAGCCATAGAATGGTAAAATAAATGATTTCTGGAAAAGTAGGATTTGCTGGATTTTATTTAAGGGAGAAAACCATCCTAGGGCACAGTCTACTTGATATTTGGTGCTGTGTGGAAAAACAGTGACAGAGGACTGTTGCAAAGTTCAGTTTGTTAAAAGTAGTAGAGGTAAAATGATATCTCTGTCTCTATAAACTGAACTGGAGACGGAAATTTAAATTGCCAAATAGTGACAATCTAAACATCAATACATCCTAATACCTCTCTGAAATGACAATAAAAGTGAAAAAATATCTCTTACTGCCCTTCCTTCTGTCATGGATAAAATGGTGTATAGATATCCTGAATTTTGTTCAGGGATATGGTTCGGATTAGTGTTGGGGTCAGGGAGTAAAAGAGCCTAGAGCTCCAAGGGCACTGGGATGAAAAGGTCAAGCCAAGGGGATCATGGCAGGGCCCCAGCATCAGTGCTGCCCCTACATCTTTTTCATCTGGTCCACCCATAGTGATGGAGACCTCAGCCACAGTGACTAGAACTCATTAAGGTTAGTGGTAGGGTTTAAAGACTAAAAGATCCCACATCTCCAGGAACCCTGGAGCTGGAAAAGGCATGCCAAGGGGATCATGGCAAGTCCCCAACTTTTCTGCTCCTATATCTTTTTTATCTAGGCTACCAATGGTGATGGGGACCTCAGCTCCAGCAACAAGATGCCATAAGGGCTAGTGTCGGGGTTGGGGTTCAGGGAACCACAGATTCTACAGCTCCAGGGATACTGGGGCTGGAAAAGGCATGCCAAGGGGATCACAGCAGGAACCCAAGATTAATGATACCACCCGTTTTTATTGTGGGTCACCTATGGTGAGGGGGATCTCTGCCACAACTTCAAGCCATTCGGGTTAGGGTTCAGAGAATAAAAGAGCCAACATTTCCAGGGAAACCAAGGCTGGTGTCATGAGTTGCTTCCCCCCGAGAGTCGGGGGCTCAGAGGTGATTGGGTGCCAGGGCAGTGTTTCCTGGAGGGTCAATCACTGCTTGTTTTGTTCGCTCCTGTGAAAAATCATATATACACAGCCGCCAGAAGCTGTTGGCAGTTTTCTGTTGGTGTCTGCTGCGTGTAGATGTAGAAGGCCAGGGGGTGGCTGGGCTCCTTCTTCCCCCCTCCGGGGGGATAGAGGGGAGCCCTGCGGCCCCCCAACTCTGCCTAGGCCAGAGTTAGAGACACATTGGGGTGAGTGTATGTTTGTGAGGGACGTGACTCACAAACAACTGGTAAGCGAGAGAGAGAGAGAGAGAAAGAGGCAGACCTTGCGGCCAGGTCCTCTTCTTCTTCTTTCCCCCGCTTTGCAGCCAGGCTGCAGAAGGGGGCTGTTTTTCCCTTTCACTGTTTGGTGGGAGTGGTGCAAGGCTCAGCATTGAAGCAGAGCCAAGTGGACGGGCTGATAACGAAGCAGCTCAGCACTAGGGAAAGGAATCCCGGGTGAAGTTAGAGACAGGCCAGAGAGAGAGAGGCTCAGGAGTTTGCCCTGCCGAGGTTTGACCGGGGGCAGCCCAAAACTGACTTGGAGGATGCGTATGTTGATAAGCTACACTACAGCAGCCTACAGAACCGAGGTATGAGACTGAGAGAGAGAGATCACACAGCAGAAATGACACAGGACCAAGGAGAAAGGACTCAGAGTTACCTTCTTGGACTTCATGAGGAAGAAAGGTCTTCCACAAACAGCTGAAGGTTGGT